TAACATACAGTCTGTCTAGTAATTGGATGATTTTGAAGGCCAGTGAAGTGTCTCGATGTCATTTCCCTCTTTCCAGGACGTACAGAGCCGGCTTCGATGTTTGGAGTCATCCTCCTGGAGTAACCAATCTTCATCTTTACTGATAAACCAGCGTTGGCAGAATGAATCAAAGCTTTTTGGTATATATATTTTTAACATTTTCTCGGCATTCAAATTACGCAAACAAATTTACGCATCTTTCGAAAAAATCGCACCGGTCCGTGTACTGATGAAAGTCAAGAAAAAAGATTTGTTACCGGGATTACCAAAGAATGTCATGACGCAATCGCGGTTCTCCGCGGATCGCCGTTCTCAGTACGTAATTATCATCTGGTCACACATCAGAGCGTTTAATTAACTAATTTTGTTTCTTTATATAACTCTTTTTAGAATCCTTATGTAACGTCCGGCCGTCAAAACACAACAGCTGACGAGCCGGCCGTCACCGGAGTCAAAACACGCGATAAGGATAATAAGGCCCAACACGTACTATTCATGTCGTGAACATACGACTTCCGAATTCCTAAGTCCACGTGCTTTAAACGTGAACTTCTTTTAGCATTTTTCATGCTCAATTAATTAATAATTATTTGATCTCCAATCAAAAATACTCGTAAATTATGGTCATCTAAAGCAAACTCACGCACAAATTGCCAATATACACACTTACATGCATATACGTATACATATAAATACATAAATATATATATATTATATACATATATATATATATATATATGAGTAAGTGCTTTTTTTCCTGCGAAATTATTAATTATATATATATATAACGTTATTACAATAAACATTTAGTAGAAAATAGCGAGTTACGCTACCGATATTAATGTCTCTACAATTAAGAACAATTGTATTGATATGTAACATACGCAGCTAGAAACGGCCGCATATGCTGAAACACGGGCATAAAAACTCGGAATGCGAAAGCATACATACGGATACATTCTGAGCGCGGGCAATGGTATCATAGCGAAGGTGGCGGTTCCGAAGAGCACCCTTAATATTAAGTACAAAGATTATAACTAAAAATAAACATATAATTGGCAATTATAATAGTCGAAAATTCCAGAATAATGCTCGCGCCACGATAATTTCACGTGATAGCGATACTCCCTTTGCCCCTAGACGTCACCTCTTGACTGGTATATAAGGCGATCCTTCACAGGATTTCGGGGATATTATTCTCTAGCGTTCGCCGACGACTCCAGAGCCTCGGTACCTCTCTCGATTAAGTCGTATAGGCGCGATTAAAGGTAATATAACTCTCCGCGAATAAGTTACTTCCATATTAATTGTAAAGTTATCTTCTGTACGTTTAAATTCTTATAATAAAATGTTAATTATTATACAACAGTCTCGTATAAAGTCATTCTAAATTAACGATACGATTTGCACCAGAGCTTGGCCACGACCCGCATACACCACCCTTACTCTCTCCTCTTACGATTAGTGTAATGCGATCACTCTATGTGCGCTGAATTACTATTTTCCCTCTCTCTTTCTACTTCCTAAGCATCTCACCCTCACCCTATTATTCTCTTAGTGTAATGCGTTCACTCCATGTGCGCTAACACTATTGCCCCTTCTCCCTCCTCAGAAAATTCTTACTCCTCCAATAATCTAACTCTCCTTCTCTATACCCATTCTAAACGTTCCCGTGCCAATTTCTGGCTGACCTCGCGAAATAGAATATATTACGCATACATATATAAATATGTATATACATCCAGAGGAGTCAAGGCTTCATCCCACGCGCCTTCTCAATCGTAACATAGCGTTGGAAGTAAAAGCAACGGTTAGAACGATGAAAATACCGTCCCCCGGATGCGACACCTTACTTGTATAGATATATCAACAGGTTTTGCATACTACAGTAATATACAATATTTGCACATAAATTGAGCATTCCCTAAAGCTATATTGTTCTCCATATTTTCTCACGATAAAAATTGTTCTAATTGTATATAGACAGTTAATAATATATTAAACGGAAAATATTATGTACAATTGGAAAAAAACGTGATATTTTTGTCATATTCAGAAAAGAAAGTTTCTACTAGTTTTGAAAACTACAATATTTAAAATAAAAAATCATATTAGTCAAATCACATTTCTAAAACAAATAGAAATGATTAAAATAAATGAAAATCTTGAAATAAATTAAAATCAAATAATTGGTTTTCTAGGAAGACATTCTATCATTTTTTAAATCATTATTATGTCTGTGCACGGTACAACTCTTAATATTTTTGCAATAAAAAAAAATAGCATTACTACTATAAATTTCAGAACATAAAAATACACGAGCTTTTATTATGTATGGAGGATTTTATTCGACACAAGAAACAATCTATTGCGGAGTTCCTATGATTGGAATTCCTCTGTTTGGTGATCAACGCGTCAACATTTAAAATTATGCGTCAACAAGAAAGTGGCTATTACGTTGAACTCAGTAACCGATGTTACTGAAGAGAAATTAACTTCGGCAATAAAAAACATTCTAAAGGATTCCATTTATCGGTAAGTGCTCAAAGACTATTAACATCGGAAAGCTCAAACATTATACAGTTGTCTGCTAATTGTAATGCGTTCAACTGGAATTTAATGGAATCATAACATTGATCGCAAGAGAGATTGCAAACACTGCAGAACGTACCTATGCTGAATTCACAAGATGTTTAGTTAAACAAAACTACATTTAAAACAAGATTACGTTTAGTGATCGCACAATAATAACGTATATAATTGTACCCTTTATACATTACACATTATTTTTTTATTAACAACCTGTAGGATTTAGGAAATAAAAGCTTCTATTATATAACGGTCGGATTTTAAATGCTTAAATAATTCAATATGAATTAATTGCATATACTATATATTATATACTATATATATATATATGTATATATACATATATATATATATATATGCATATATATAAAACTGCGCAGCAAATTAATTTTTTTGGATTTAAAAACACAGTTAGTAAACTACTGAAATAAGATCACAATTAATGCTCAATAGGTATTTTTTCACATGCATAGAAACAATCAGTCTTTTTATTAAAGTTCTTTGGTCTTTTTTATTTGAACAATATCAAATCTTGAACCGTAAAAATTTAAACTAATAAATATAATGCGTGTAAATTTATATATTACATTTGTAATATATAAATTCATACGCATTATATAGAAGCATCCGAGATTAGCTTAACCGTTACGGTATGTTCTCATAGGTATTTATAGGTTTTTATTTATTTTTGTACGTCTATTATATTTATATTGGAGTACAAATTAGTTCGGTTCGTTTTCCAAAAGATGATCGCCTTCAAAGACGAGTCATTTTTTCGAGATGGAATTCAAAAATTGCCTGAGAGATGGAAAAAAGTAGTAGCCAGCGATGGCTACAATACTTTAATTAATCTGTTCATTCATTTAGTTTTGAAGTAAATGCATTTTTGAACACTAAAAACGGACGGAACTAATTTGTACACCTAACTTTATTTATTATTTTCAAGAACAAAATTTTATATAAATAAAAAAAGTGATTTTACTATTATTAGAGTTAATATTATAAAATTGTGCAACAGTCACGTTAAATGGACTTTAAAAGTCAAAATTTACTGCTTTAAATCTTTATTAGCTATTTATATCCGTAACCGGTTGCACCGTATCACATCGCAGAATAAACAGAGCGTGTACTCTCTATTGTAACCAAATCTTGCTTTACTCTCCAATGCATATCGTGAGAGTCAATTCTAATCAATTGGTATGTGCTTTAAATTCCACATTGATTTCATCTACGCGAATTCGTATGAAATATGTTTTATATAAAAGTTACAGAATAAGAGCAAACGTTTCGATCAGGATAGGACGGATGAAAAAAATTGGAAAAAAATGTAAAATCTATATAAAAATCGTGCATTGTTACAGTTAAAAACAATTAAAATATTTCACGATTTAACGTTGAATAAAAACATGATGTGATTAAAAATACTGCTCATTACGCGAACTTCCGAACGCTTTGCTACAATTGATTTCGTATGTAAACATCTAACTATATTGATCGTTAGTAAACGCTTCTTTTCGTTTCAGTGAAAATGTCCAAAAACTGTCGAACTATTCCTTGACCGACCCCCCCCCCCGATAAGTGCTTTGGATATATCCACTTTTTGAGTGGAATATGTATAGCGAAATACGGAAACATGCTTCAATCACCAGAAATTAAACTCAATTGGTGGCAACGGAATTTTATATGCGCCGTAATTATTATAATGCTCTCTTTATATCGTGCTATTTATCCTTCGAAAATTAAAGAAGCTCTTGTTTGGATCGCATGCTTGCGCAAAGAAAGACAATGCAACAATAAAGTTGAAGAAGAATAAGTGAACATGCCGCGTACAAAATAATATTTCCTTTTATTTTAATTAATTCAACATCTTAGAGATCATTATCTTTTTGATACGTACGAAAAAATGTCAAAATGTTGTTAAAAACAACATCCTTGTTTATAATGCTGTACATGTAGTATTTTAATAAAATATATGTTTAATTAATTACATTTGTAGGTATATGTATTTGCATGTGCGGGCTTCAACACATACACCGGTATTCAAGCGTATAATGCAAACAATTTCATTGTTTCCTACCGTTTGTCAACGGGCTCGTGTTAATAATATAAACAAAACGTATATAATCTGAAAAAATTCTCTATTATAATTCTATATTATAATTTTATATTATAATTCTATATTATAATATTCTATATATTATATAATTATATATTAATATAAATCAATTAAATACCGAGATAAAACAAATAGGCCTGATAAAATACGCGATATGTCGCATTGCATACAATAAAAGCACATTGCGTGTAAATTTACTCGTCATTTTTGCTCCTTAGTCGATTTCGCTTATTTTCAAACATGAAAAATACTTTACCCGTCGGCGGCAGCGTTGTATTCGCGAGTTTTAGCTTCATGCATTCTTGCTCACGTTCCATCAGAATTCGACGAAGTTCCTCGTCGAGTAGCGTGCTACCCATCGTTGTGTTTCCCGGCATCTGTTCGGCAAACAACGCGTGGAATATTAATAAATTACAGTCGCAAAAGTAAGATAAGTTATAAACGTCCGGTACATGTTATGGTATAATTTGACTGTGTAATGTACGGCTATTTAACATGCGTCACAGTCTACACTACGATAGAAACACGAATGTAGCCTTCGTTAATATTTTACGTTAATTAACATTTTTCTTAGAAAGAGAATACTATTAAAGAACATTATTGTATCGAGACATTTTAATTTCATATGCCTCAATAAAAAAAATGTGAATTTAAATTTTTTAGAGATTATCTCAAATATCTCAACGTAATATTAGATTCTAAAAGTAGTTTCTTAGGCGTAAGGTTGACTTTGTACATACATCAAAAGCATCTTCGGAAACGTAAAATATGGTAGTTTGCACAAAAAATATCTCTACACTGAAATTATAAAATTGACATTCCGCTCTCTATTGTCCCGAGCTACTTCTAACTTTTTACTACATTCCAAATATTTTTTTTTCTGCATTCACTGTTGACTGTATATTAGTTTCAGATATTCATTATAGCATCGACAATTTGTCGATTATTCGCTTCAAAAGTCATCGGTTCAATTTTATCGCGTAAAGTATGACTGCAGTGAAACTTTGCAGAATGCAGATAAAAATTGTCACTGTTAGAGATTTCAACGCATTATTGAGGAAATCGTTTCATTGGACTACGACGCGACCCGTAATAACTCTATTGCAGAGAAATGAACGTTATTGCATCAAGTCGAAGTGTCGCGACATGAAATAATGAAGCGGAATGTTTTATGATAAAGCCGCTTTGCCTTGAATACTAATCGAAGAAGCTTTCGATTCTCATAATTGGGATATTCACAAAATTTTGTCATATAAACGATCATTATACATTGCATTTTTGATATTAATTATTCCTGACCGCAAGAATATACAAAAAAAGAAATTCTCTGTAACACGAACATTAATTATGATAGAAATATTTTTAAAAAGTTATTAACAAAAAAATTTCAAAATTAACGTATCATTTCTGCTATACATGTATAATATTAATTACTATTCTAATTTTTTGTGTTATATAGTTGAACTTCTTCTACGTAAAACGAACCACATTGACGCAATGCTGAAAACCTATCAGCGTCGCGGGGGGGACTACATACGCAGTATATAAATTCACACAATATAATAAACATTAACATCTTGTTTTCAAGACTCGATTAGGCTTTACACTTTCCTCGATTTTTAAATCATACGAGTCAATGATTATTATCTTTCATTATATATATATATATATATATCCAGGGAATGGAAGTAACTCGTTACTTGTAACGAAGTTACAGTTACAAGTTACTTTTTTGGTAACTTTACTGGTAACTGCGTTACTTTCTTTTTTTGGTAACTGTAACGGTAACGAGTTACATTTTTTGGGTAACGGTAACGAAATTTACAGTTACTTTTGTCGTTACTTTGCACACGATTGAACACGGTTCGATTGGATACATGCTATTTATAGCGCTTATTAATAAGACTTGAAAGCCCTTAGACATTCGGCCGTCATGATTCAGTAATTATTTTACACTTCTATCTTCTATGTAATACATAGGACATACAAATATTTCAGTTTGCTGCATATTTTACAGGTTTTAGAATTACAAAATTGTGTTTAAAAAAAATTAAAAAATAAATTAAATAATAGTAAAATGAGAAGGGCTACGAACCCAAAAGCGAAACAGTTTAAAAGACGATGACAATAAGTGTCGAAACGTCGTTTGCTTTTATCTTGTTTTATTCATGTTATTGTTCTAATATATATTTATACATTTAATTACATTGTCATCGTCGTTCTTATCGGAAATAGACTGTTTCATTTTTGGCTCGTAACCCTTCTCATTTTACTTTTATTTAATTTATTATTTGAGCCATTCTACATTGTTTTTTTTTTTCAAATAAAATTATATATTTGTCAGTATTACATATAAAAAAAAATGCAAAAGTACATTTTTAAATTGATTTTAAAAAAGTAACGGAAAAGTAACGAAAAGTTATTTTTCAAGTAACGGTAACTGTAACGAGTTACTTTTAGAAAGCGATAACTGTAACTGTAACTAGTTACATTTTTTACTCGGTAACGAGTAACTGTAACTAGTTACTTTTAAAAAGTAACTTTCCATTCCCTGTATATATCATATGTATGTATACGATATATGTGAAGAAAGAACGTGTGTGGTAACATAGAATATGTATGTAGATTTTAAGAGAAAATCTTTTTTGTACCGCGGGGAAGAATGCCGCCATTCGACACTGAACGCTTCATAATAGAAATAGAGGCTCACCCTGCTATTTTGAACACAAAATGTAGAGAATATATCTAGTAATAAGATCTCAAAAACACCACGCGCGCGCGTGAAGGCATGGGAAGAAATTTGCACATTATTATTATATTATTACCTTTTATTATTATTATTATTATTATTTGTACTATGTTCTCTGCATTTCATGTTATATCAGCGAATCTAAATATCGACATTTATACAATACTAGCGATTCACTTCCGCGAGAGCTTATGCATTGTCAAAGATACACAAACCGATCTGTCCGTACAGAATTATTGTCTCATCAATAGATAGTACTTTGTATAACTTAGCTGCATATCTCCATAACATTTTATTTAAAACAATTCCGAGAACCTCTTGAAAGATCATGTTCAAGATCATGATCTGGATAACAATTATCAAGATCAAGGCCAATGGAGGTTGCAACTCTTATTTTCATTTTTTGCAATGAAAATTCATTTTTATGTAAAAATGAAAAAATAAGAGTTACAATCTCCAATGGCCTTGACCTTGACAAATGATGATTTCAAACAACAATCGAGAGATTTTAGCCGTCATTTGGACATCTTGAGCAATGCTAATGCCGGCGATACTGTAACTTTCAAGTCTTATAACTCGAAAATTATTTGATAAAAAAATTTTTTACGCTTTTGAGGCTTTCGCGGGTATTTTCTTCAATTATACCAGAAGGTTTGCAGGTTATCGCCGTGTCTTTCTTCATTATTAATGCCAACGTTTCGTGAACCATACACGTGAACGTTGGCATTAATAATGAAGAAAGACACGGCGATAACCCGCAAACCTTCTGGTATAATTGAAAAAAATATTTTATTATAGTGTTTTGAAAAGCTCTCGAGATGTGCTACAAGAATATGCAATAAAAAATAGGTTTTTCATTTAAAAAAAATTTATATTGACCTTGACCTGGCCTGGTAGTGCACCCTATTCACAATCCGTTATTTCCACCTTCTTTTCCCCAAGAAAACCTACAATTTTTATATAAAACTTTTTCTTGTATCTCTCTTATACTACGTTTACACGGCACGCTTTACGCCAAAGTTATAACATCGATGTTATGAAACTGGCCAATCATAGCTCTGAAGAATGGAATGACTGTGATTGGCTACTTTCATAACATCGATGTTATAACTTCGGCGTAAATCGAACCGTGTAAATTTAGTATTAGTTTCTGAGATATTCGCCTCAGGCGATTAAAATGACTCACCTATATATTATATAGAACGTCAGTGTTATACACCCTCTTTACATACCCTTCGTGAAATAAAAATAAAAATTTTACGTTGTTAGATTACACACACATACGCACGCACGCACACACACAAAATATAATTTTATAAAAATCTCGTAAAATATTGTTCGCAAATAATATAGTTAATTCATTATTTAAAATAAATGTATATTAGCAGGGAAAATATTTGGTATTGAACGATTAAAGTTATTTTAATAAAAAAGTATAATGAAATTCAGTTCACTCTATAAAAATATCAAATATTTTCTGTAAAAACAGAATGTTAAATCTCTGTTAAGAACATGTATTTTTAATGTAATTTTTTTTCCATCACTGCGTTTGATTATAAACTTTACTGTCCGTAAACCATTTGCAAACTACGTTAAACAAATACGAATGGTAAATATCGATAATTATTCGCGAAAAATCGGCGATTCTCATATCTCATAAATATGACATTGCTCTCCTAAATCAAACAGAGCGGTAAATAGCGAACCGTCAATTAACATTCAATTAAACACATCCGTTTGCCAGAAGTATGCATTCACATTTTACTGAAATTTCACGCCACGTCAAAAAAACACGCGTGTATATATATATATATATATACATATATACACCAAGATCATTGGTATTTTTACGGCAGTAATTCCATACCACCTGAATGAAACAAGATATTCATGCGATGTTAAAATACGACTCACTTTAAAATTGATGCAAAGTCAAAACAAGATGTAGATGCGCGTTAATAGTCCAGTCACTTTAGAACAAAAAAGAGCGTATAAACACAAAAATTCCGACTAAGCTATAAATTGCTAAATACCTTCATTTAAGCAAGAGAAATGATGTCTGAAAAGTTCCCTTAAACGTTAACTTATACGCTAAGTTTTTTATCGAGCGTAGAAGGGTTGAAATTTCGATTTTTAACGGTTATTTTCTTTCCTATCAATTTTACGGCCAAAGTAGGTCCATAATAAAAGAAAGATAATAAAATTTTCTACAAAATTCTCCAATGGTCGTACTTCGTACGATCAATAGTTCTCGAGATAGATTTTTTTTAAGGGACCTCTTATTTTCGAACGTTACGTAAATTTGTTCTGTCTTCGCGAATATCTCAAAATTGTGAGTGCATCTACGTGCAAAACGCATATAACAAGATCGAAAGAGTATTTAATTACTTACAAAATGGGATTTTATTGAATGTCGTACGATCAATAGTGGGAGGAAGAGAATAGTAACTAAAAAACCAAAGTAAAATGAAAATAAAATTGAGTGAGATCAAAACCGAAAGTAACAAGATTTCGATGTTCAATTATGGAGCAGGTTTTTCTATTTTAACACTGGTATAGTCGTTTCGCTAACTCAATCACGTTTTTTTTTTTTTAAAAAAAAACCTTAACTCATATTTCTTCACCATA